CCCAAGCGCTACCGGCTTCACGGTTTGCCGGGCAGCCTCCAGACCCTGCGCCCCCGGCTAGGTGCTTCCCCTCCCGGGCTCCAGCTGCGCTGGGCAAGCACAGGGTCTGGGGGCTGCCCGGCAAACCGTGAAGCCGGTAGCGCTGGGGCAGCCCTTTCCCCGTGGCTGGGAGTGGGAGGGAGGAGGGGGCGGAGTTAGGGCGGGGAAGGGGCGGAGTTGGGGCGGGGCCGGGGGTGGGGAAATGGGCAGGGCCAGGGCCCGTGGAGGATTCTCTTTTTTTATTTAATAGATATGGTAACCCTAGGTCAACTGACTTGGGCTTGTGGGGCTAAAAATAGCAGTGTAGATGGTCAGGCTGGAGCCTGGGCTCTGAGACCCTCCCCATTCACGAGGTTTCAACATCACATGGCCCTCTCACCCCAGGGAAATTCTGTTCTCTGGGAAGTTTTGGGGGATGCGGGAGGAGAGAAGAATTTGTAGAGTTAGTGTTCTCCAATAATTTCACCACTTTGGTGTCACCCTATTCTATTTAAAGTACCTCATGACTTTAACTTTGCCCTTTGATGTTTGTAAAAACTTATATTCATGAATCAAAGTAATAAGTTGATGAGGAGCTTTTTTAAATTGCTGAATATAGTGAAAATGTGACACATAAATAAAGATATCTTATCTCCTAGAACTGGAAGGGACCTTGAAAGGTCATCAAGTCCAGTCCCCTGCCTTTACTAGCAGGACCAAGTACTGATTTTGCCCTGGATCCCTAAGTGGCCCCCTCAAAGATTGAACTCAGAACCGTGGGTTTAGCAGGCTAATGCTCAAATCACTGAGCTAGCCCTCCCCCCCATATTTCATTTCTCACTGTAAAGGAACCTACATATGTCAGTTGTTGCACAATATAGGTAAAAATGCACATTTGTAAGCTTTCAAAATATGTCATTCAACTATTGTTCCAATTGTTATACTTGCAAACGGAATAGAAGAAAAATAAAGCAACTGATCAAAAAGAGATAACAGACACATTTTAAGTCCTACAAAAAAAATAAAACTTTTTCCATCTTCAGGAACGTTTTTACAACATACAATTTTGGAAAACCCAAAAATATCCTGCAGATTGCTAAACTAAAAAAGTCAAACTTGAAGTGAGATACCAGCAGTTGAACTTAGGAATGCTACAAAGGACTTTCCAAATGTCGGATGTCCTGGGCTGGACACTGTCAGCACAAGGTCTATAAATCTTTACAGAAGCTTCTGGTGCCTTGAATACGTCAAATGTGCAGTCACTCCCTTGAATAAAGAAAATAGCCTAATTCTTGTCTGGAAGCCAGTATAACCATACCCCTGAAAAAAGATAAAAATCTAGAAGACTGTAGATCATACTGGCCAGTATAACTAACCAGTCTGGACAATAAAGTATTAGCAAAATGCTTAGGAAACCAACTACCTGGCTTCATTCCAGGGAAAGCCACAATTTATAATATTTAAGGCAAAACATTATTCATCGTATTAAAGAAATGAATAAAAATGGCCTTCTAGCATTAGATGCAGAAAAGATGTTGGTTAAGGTTCTTTGGGACTATCTTTTTGTAGTACTGGAGAACTACAGTTTTAAAAATGAATTTATAACCTCTGTCTCAAACTGAGCTGTGGTTCTGCATATACCTTCCTTTATTTGAATGGCTTCTGAAGGACCCTCTCTTTAAAGAGTGGCACAGGTCAAGAGTGTTCTTTGTCACCTCCTCTTGTTTGCTCTCATTCTTGAACTACTTGCAATAGCTGACAGGTTCCCCAGAGATTCAGGGAATTACAATAATGAACTTAAATTTACTCTCTTCGTAGGTAACACTTTGCTTTGTCTCTGCGAAATACAAACCTCCATTCAGTGCCTCAAATAAGACTTTGGGCTTGTCTACACTGGCCCAAAGTTCAGACTATGGGGATCTGAATAACAGTGCACAACAAAGTGCTGCTCTGTAACTCCTCCATGTGGATGTTGCGGATGCAGTCTGAAAGCATCCTAGTTCACGTAACCGTAGTCCTCTTCAAACAGGAAATTGGACAACATCTTGTTATAGAAACCACTCTGCAAATATAGAAAAAAGGCATCAGGTACCTTCTCACTGACTTGCTGGATATGTGGGTTATCAGGTTTCCCCCCAAAATACAAAGACACAATATTTTTAAAAGAAGGAAGATCAAAGACTATAGACAGTTAGTGGATTTTTCGATGCTACTGAATGTTGAATGCTTCTGAATAAAATGTACCTACTATTTTCCAGATTCCTATATGTTCTTTACAAGTTAAAAATGTCTAGATGCTGTTACTATAGGAGAAACTACAAAAGAACTGATTAGAAGAAACTTTAAGATGATATGGCCTTACCCAGTTAATCTCCTATCTCGACTGTACAAACTTGTTCACTGCAAAACACTCCCAAGTGCATCTTGAGATCTTAAAATTGCTGTTAGGATAATCAGTGGCAAGAAAACATCTGAATACAAAGTGTGATTGTCACACTTACCTCTGTGTTGTTTTTCGAAGTGCCATTACAATCAAAGATTTTGAACATAGACCCACCATTCCATACATTCCACACTGGTAATTGAACCTGTGAATCAATCTTTATTATAGATTGATTCACTCCTTAGGACCAACTTTCTAGCTATGATTTAAAAGTACAGAACATTGCCTATGGTTGTGGTGTTCAGTGGGCAAAAAGCTTTATACCAACAGGGCCCATGTGATAGATATGACAAAGTGAAGTCCTAACTTACCTTAACTGACTGAAAACAGCACCCTAGATCATCACCAAAGAGAGCTTATTGAACTCTCTCTCTCTCGCACGCATGCAATAAATTCAAGTGAATCAATCTGTAGTTGAAAATATTAGTATTTGGTATTCAGGTTTATAATGAAGGTCATATGGATATGAGGGAAAATTTGTTATCTAGAATTTATAATTATTATATTAAATATTGTTAATTTGTGAAAAAGACTAAACTAAGCTTTATTGAACACTGAGTGCCTTTATAAAGTAAAGCAAGTTTCTTTTGATGTCTGTTATGTGATATAACATTAAGTACTCCCATCTCCTTGCACAGTTTTGATCTTTCTTTATGTTGCATACAATAAAAGAATACATAAACATACAATACCATATAACCAAATTGAGCAATAATATTATTTCTGGTCATTTAAAATATCCTTTTACTCCACCCACACAACACTATGAGAGAATTTATGGAACTGTGGTATAGAGTGCCCTGGGACTATACTGATTTCAAAATCTTCGCTACACAGGTATACAATTGTATATACCAGGGATTGGCAACCTTTGGCACGTGGCCCGCCAGGGTAAGCACCCTGGGGGGCCGGGGTGGTTTCTTTACCTGCCATATCCGCAGGTTTGGCCGATTGCGGCTCCCACTGGCTGCAGTTCGCCATTCCAGGCCACTGGGGGCTGCGGGAAGCGGCGCCCGGCACATCTCTCAGCCCGTGCCGCTTCCCGCAGCCCCCAGTGGCCTGGAGCGGTGAACCGCAGCCAGTGGGAGCCGCGATCGGCCAAACCTGCGGATGCAGCAGGTAAACAAACTGACCCAGCCCACCAGGGTGCTTACCCCGGCGGGCCGCGTGCCAAAGGTTGCCAATCCCTGGTATATACCCAACAGCATATTCCCCATCATTGAAGAAAACAGTGAGCCAAATTAAGGGTCATGGGAATGGTAATTGAAGATTCTGTGTAAGTGGGAATTGGCTGCATCCTTTAACTGTTCATTTCCAGAATTTTTTAATGATTCAGGTTTTTAATTCTGTAAAACATTGTGAAGAAAGTGTCATGTGGCAGGGGGTGTTAGTAGGATTTCATTGAAACACTTTAAACCATAACTATCTTGTACCTAAGTTATTCGTTAAGGGAATCTTTCATCAGCATGTGCATTGTAGCACCGTCGAACATTGACTTCAGTGGTGTGACATGAAGACTACATTTAACCAGTGCTTAATTTGTGCCAGGGCTTGCCAGAGCTGATCCCCGGCACCTCTAGGCTTGGCAGTTCGTAGTTCTGGCACCTTTAGGCTTGCTGTGTCAGTTACGAAAGTAAAATAAACAAAAATTGCTTGAGCCCCAACACCTCTTTCATTACAAATTAAGCACCGCATTTAACGAGTATGAGTTAGTTAGTGATACTCAGATTGAGGCTCCCAAGCTGCAAGTGGCTCTTTAATGTGTCTTCTGTGGCTCTTTGCAGCACATGATATTAAAACACTATGCGATTTAATTATTAACCAATCAGGATGCTTTTACTGTTATTAACCAATTGTAGATGACAAAATAATAATACTTGGTGAGTCATTTTGCAGTGAGAATAACATATATATTATAAATAGTAAATGAAACAATGAATTCACACCATTCTGGCTCTTTTGGGTAATGTTTATCACTAATTTGGCTCCTGAGGTCTGAGTAACCACTGAGGTCTGAGTGTCACTGGTCTAATGATACATGTCATAGAGTTACATGCAGATATCACCTTTTGGCCTTCATTTATATGTATCTTACTCCTGCTTCTTGAAATTCCCTTTCGAGTTTCAGGTTTGAACAAACTAAAACTCTAAACTAAATCTCGGTCAAGCCCATTTTGCTTCACCTTGTTTTGTGGGAAAACCAGGGGTTTGTCGTCCAAAAATCAAGTTTATTCTGTTGCTAGAGCCTGCAATGAATTTATAATTGTGTGATTGACAGCATAGTCTGTTTCCATAGAAATGGCTGGTGCCACAAACATCATTCTGACTTCACTGCATAAGGAAATGCAAGATGGGTTATTGAGGCAAGTCCTTATTTAACACATACAGCTTTGGCTGTTAGCAAACGAAGTAATAAAAATGTGAGAAAAAATGTATTTATTTATTCAGCAGAATTAATTTTAATCTTTTGTCCCAGAAAACTTTCTAATTATCAATCCAATACAGCAAAAGAAAACAAAGAAAAAATAAGCAAATGGGTAAAATTCTAAAGATGGATTTGTCCGACATGAAGAGGCACAACTGAAAGTTAAAAAAATTGAACGTTTTTTAAGAAATATCTCTAAACTTGATTTTCAGGAAGAAAGAATTATCTCTGGCCCCGAGTCATAGTCTGTTTTATCAGCATTGGTTTTTCCATCTATTACTTCACACCTACTAGGACTACAGCGTTATGACAAGAAGCATTTAATCATTGATTACACTTTTGGGAGTTGTATGGCATCAGACAAAGATGTTCAAATATGTATGTAAGAGCTAAACAAAACACTCAGAGCTAAATTCAGCCCTGGGGTAAGCAGGATGCAGTTCCATTGATTGAATTTATGCCAGAATGTTGAAGAACCCTAGTCTCCCAAGCTGATTTTTTTTTGATAAACTATACTACAGTCCCATTAAGAGAGTGTGACTGGGATTCAAATTAGTTTACTGAACTGTTCTTCTTCCTTGATGACTGATAGGCAGGAGTGGCTGGTAGGAGGACACAGCTTTTACACTTAACCTCCCTTCCACTTACAAGTTCTCTTCTCTGTTTTTTCCAGAGGCAGTTCCACTAATGAAACTCTGTTGTTAGACCTTTTTGGAAACCATTGTTCCTCATAACAAAAATTGCGAGTTTATGCAAAAGATGAGAATATTTGGAGGACAGAACTTTTGTGTCACTCTGTTCAAATAGTTTATTTTGTTGACACTTTCTAGCCTAGTAAATGATGGCTGAGTGCACCCTCTTCTCCACTGGCACATAGAATCATAGAATATCAGGGTTGGAAGGGACCTCTGGAAGTTATCTAGTCCAACCCCCTGCTCAAAGCAGGACCAATCCCCAACTAAATCATCCCAGTCAAGCCTGACTTTAAAAACCTCTAAGGAAGGAGATTCCACCACCTCCCTAGATAACCCATTCCAGTGCTTCACCACCCTCTTAGTGAAAAAGTTTTTCCTAATATCCAACCTAAACCTCCCCCACTGCAACTTGAAACCATTACTCCTTGTTCTGTCATCTGTTACCACTGAGAACAGTCTAGACCCATCCTTTTTGGAGCCCCCTTTCAGGTAGTTGAAGGCTGCTATCAAATCCTCCCTCATTATGTTCTTATGTTATGTTCTTATTCTTCTCTTCTGCAGACTAAATAATCCCAGTTCCCTCAGCCTCTCCTCATAAATCATGTGCTCTAGCCCCCTAATCATTTTTGTTGACATCCCCATTTTCTATATCTTCGTCTTGCAAACAGCAGGGGACCCTTTAGCTATTAGGTGTCTAGTAAATTGTTCAAACTCTGGCTATTTAGATCAGTGGCTCTCAACCTTTCCAGACTACTGTACCCTTTTCAGGAGTCTGATTTGTCTTGAATACCCCCAAGTATCACAGCGCTTAAAAACTACTTGCTTACAAAATCAGACATAAAAATACAAAAGTGTCACGGCACACTATTACTGAAAAATTGTTTACTTTCTCATTTTTACCATATGATTATAAAATAAATTGATTGGAATATAAATATTGTACTTACATTTCAGTGTGTAATATATAGAGCAGTGTAAACAAGTCATATGAAATTTTAGTTTTTATGTAGCATGTTGTAAAACTATGCAAATATCTAGATGAGTTGATGTACCCCTGGTTGAGAACCACTGATTTAGGTCCCTTAAATTCTGATTTTTTTCACACTAATCTAGAACTATTTCCTGAATAGTTTTCCGTATCTGGTATTCAGCAGACTGGATTGGCTTTCTCAGATACAGTTAGGTGGGTGAGCGTGAGTTTGTTTTGTTTAATTAGAAGCTTAAATTATAGCATTGATCCTATTAAGTTGTGTTTTAAGTCACTAAGACATTCATCGGTGTGGCTTTAGAAATCAATTATGATCCGGAGAATGGGAATGAGGCCAAGAGGGAAAGTTGTGTTCTAGATATCCACGTTCTGGGAGCTTGTGTTGGTCTCTACCCTCTGCCATTTATGAAGGTGGATGAATACAACCTTTGTTGCTAAATTTTTGGATTCTAAAAACAAACGTGCAGGTAAAAATGTTTCAGAAGTTCTTTGAAATGGAGAATTAACAGATTATGTGAATAGTAAATAGATATAGTGGAGCAGTGTCCCATCTTAATACTTTGGTTTACTGTCTTATATGTCATGCATTTTTTTCCTGCAGGTTTTGAAATAAAAGAACGTGTACAGAAACAAGAAGTTTCCAATAGTTTGCCTAGTTTGCCTGCCCCACCTCAGATGCCTCTACCAGAGATACCTCAGCAGTGGCTGGTATGTGTTAATTTAACTGTACATTCAGCCCTTAGAAAATATTTACTTACTATTGTTGTGATAACCATTAACACAAATAATTAAAAGAAAGCTACTCTCATTTTCCTCAGGATAGCTCAACAGGATGATACTTTTCTTTTTGCAATATATAATTAACAAAATACAGGTCCAGAGTCTGAAAAATCAAACTGGCTTTCAGGGGAAGAAAGGACTTTAATGCTGTCCAATATAGTTCACTTTCTAGAGCAGGACATTCTCTGAAAGAGTAAAATTTTAAGTTTCCAGCTATGTTTATAGAAAATATGAGAGCTGGACTGAGATCTGTATTGAAAATCGTCCATCTGGAAGCAGCTGTTTTACTGAAAAGTGACCTAATTATAAACAAGTTTTAGTCATTCTTTATTATTGACTTGACAATAGCTTAGAAGAAAATAATGGAAGTAGGTTCCTAGCAGTGAATCTGCAAAGAATTGCTTTGGACTGTTTTGACAACTTTAGCCCTGATATTAGAGAGGATTAATTATTGATAAATTGTGCTGCTTCTTATTATTTCTGATCAACTTCCTACAGAATGGTATTAGATAAGTCCCCTCTGAGGAGATGTACTTTTTATAAAAGTATCTATGTTTAGCTTGCAATGCAGAATTCAGTATTCCCAAGGTGTGAGAGACGGACTGGATGACCCTAGCATGTTTTTTTCATCTCTTTTTAAATTACCAGATTGACATTTTTGTTTACAGTTACATCTAGTGATTTAATGCATCAGACCAATGTGCTATTATTCTCCATTATTCATCTTGAGGCGGCGGACAGTATTAAATGCTTCAGAGGAAGGTGCAAGAATCCCCATAGCGGGCAGTTTTGGAATAACCTGATCATAGGAGTAGTTTCTTCCTAACCGCTGTTGGTGTTTTGGCTTATGTCTTGAAACAAAATTTTAAAAAATCCTATCTAATATAACTGTGGATGTTCATAAACCAGGAATATTTATGCTAGTGATATCCATATAACTAATTTATATATAAAATCTGACAATACTCAGCAAAAATGTGTGCTAATATTCTTTGCAGATAACTATATAGAATTATTATGTAATAGATTTGAGTGAATGCAAAAGTGCACCTTAATATGCATTGGAATCTGGAGAATCTATTCCATGGTTATAGTGTTTGATAATAAAACATACAAGAAGTGCATAACATAAAATCCAGTGGAAATTATTGAGATACAAGAAAATCACAAAAAAAATATGCACATGCCTGCAAATTTTTGAAGATGTAGCCTTCAAGAGCTAATTCCATAAAATTAAGCCAATTTACCGTATATACTCATTCATAAGCCGAATATTTTTGGTTAAAAAGTGACGCATCAAAGAGTGGGGTTCGGCTTATAAACGGGTCTACACCAAAATTTGATGATCTTAAACTCTATGGAATCATTGAATTGAATATCTAATACAGGGATCGGCAACCTTTGGCCCGCGGCCTGCCAGGGTAAGGACCCTGGCGGGCCAGGCTAGTTTGTTTACCTGCCGTGTTCGCAAGTTCAGCCAATCGCGGCTTCCACTGGCCGAGGTTCGTCGCTCCAGGCCAATGGGGGTGACAGGAAGCGGCGGCCAGCACATCCCTCGGCCCGCACCGCTTCCCGCAGTTCCCATTGGCTGGGAACGGTGAACTGCAGCCACCGGGAGCTGAGGAGCTCCATGCCTGCAGATGCTCCAAGTAAACAAAACGTCCCGACCCGCCAGCGGCTTACCCTGACGGGCCGGGAGCCAAAGTTTTCCAACCCCTGAAATATAGGGTCGGCTTATGAAAGGGTCATATACAGTTTTTGCTATTTTTACCTATCCATTTTGCAGGGTCAGCTTATAAACGAACGGGCTAATGAACGAGTATATACGGTAATTCTTTATTTTCTAGTATTTATGTAGGCTCCATTCAGTAAATTGGCTGCAGAAACTGTTGGTTCAAAAGAAATTTGCCTGATTCTCATCTCCCTTACACCAATGTATAAATATAGTTAAAACTAAGGAATATAGTTAAAACTAAGGAAGCTGTATGGGGGTGAACTATAAATAGGGCCCAATATGTCGACAATTTCTGCAGCAATTAAATTCTTTTGAATTCTGAAGTAACAAAATTATTGCTGGAAGATATTGTAGGAACTGACTTTGAAATTGAGCCAGTTAGAGCCAATGGGCCTATGACTGAAAATTCTAAACAGAACGGATTCCCACTGCAACAAGAAAGGGATGCTTGTGAGTGCCCAGTCAGTCTGTGGAATTGGAGACCTTCAATTAAGGATCGAGGAATATTGCAAAATTATAGTGTTTTGTATGCCTGGTCTTTTCTTAACTTAGCCCTTCCACTACTGATCCAACCACTGGAGTACTTCCTAGCGTGCTTGGCTGGGGTGAAGAGGGAAAAAGTGGTGGTGGGAGGGACCCACCTCCAGTGCTGTCCCATGAGCCCGCAGCATCCTAACTGAAGCTCTCATGTTTCAAACAGATCAAAATGATTTGACGAAAGAAGGTAGAAGATAGAGCTTTGCAAACAGCTTTGGCTGTTTATTTTCTCACACAAACATTTCCCCGTTACACTGTTATTTTACTGTATGTTTTTATTATTTTTCTTCCTTCCACCCCTTTAGTATGGTAAAGAGGAGCTTGAAGATTTCTTCCCCTCTCTGACCTACAAGTAGTATTGCTCACCTCTCTCCTGAGTCTGGGGCAGTGCTGCCTGAGTCAGATTCCGTCTGCCTCTCTTGAGCTCTTTCACTAAGTGAAGGCTCAGAGCACTCCGTTTTTTTTTCTAGCGTGATGGTGATGGATTCTCCCAGCCCCTCTTCTCAGTTCTGTTGGGTGTTGCTGATGCTGACAGAGGCTGATGCTCTTTGGTCCTTGAGACATAAGGTTAAGATTTGAGCCCGAGTCTCCAGAACCACTTTTATACTAACCCACCAAAGGCTTGATGTAAAACCCATTGAGGTCAATAGAAAGATTCCTATCGATTTCAGTGGGCTCTGGATCTCATCTTTAAACCCCTGAAACAGAGCTGACCCTAGCATTGGCAGGTCCTCTAACAAAGCAATGCATTCACAACACCATCCAGGTCCTTCCTCACCCGTGACTGCTCCCCTCCACTCCACACTATGCACTCCCGGCCAGGCAGGCTCACTCACTCAGGGCACATCTACATTTGAGCTGGGAGATGTGATTCCCGCACCATCTGTGCTCAAGCTAACACCAAAAAATAGCATCATGTGCACAGCAGCATGGGTGGCAGCTTGGGCTAGCCACCTGAGTACTCACCAGGGAGTTGGGTGGGATCTACTCAGGGCAGCTAGCCTGAGTGACCGCCCACTCTGCACTGCTATTTTTAGGGGATAGCTTGAGCAGAGCTAGCACAGGTACATTTACGTGAGCTGGGAATCATGGCTCCCAGCTCAAATGTAGACGTACCCTCAGCTTTGTCAGCACAACATCTCCCTTTATTTAACCTGTCTATATGGCTCCATTGGCACTAGTGACCTTTTTTGTGGGCCAGCAAGGCAGAATCTGCTGAGCTGAAGAATAACTTTTCAAGGGGGTAGCATGATTCCTTCCACCATTTTCTGTCTGAGGTGGAAATCCGACAGTGTCTGCACCTGCATCTTCCAGGGGTTTTTTTGCACATAGTTGCTGTTCTTAGTTAGCTAGTTCATTCATTCTGGGGTTTAGGGGGTTTCTCCCAGGCACCGTTTGGGGCATCTATTTTATGCCCAAGATCCCCATCTTTCAACCCCATGTGGCCAGTGCCCAGGTTTTCCCGGTTAGTGACCCCCACATCTCTTGTCTCTATTGCCTTGGGGAGTTTCATATCCCATCTAAGTGTGAGATTTATAATTCGTTCCCTACTTGTACATGACAGTCTCACAAGTTTTGCTCTAGGAATCATCTGATGGAGCTCTCTGTGTGACCACAGCCCAGTGCAGGGTACTCTGACCCCCCTGTACGTTGGCGAGATCCACCTGTTAGTGCCCCTTCAGATTTGGTGCTTCATGGTCCTGGATCATTTGAGCCTAAGACTAAAGACTCAGATAGACATGGGCGTGATGAGAGTAAGAGAAAACACCCTCAAAAAAACTGGGATGTCCCCATCTAAATACTCTAAGAAGAGGTTGGCCTCTGTCACAGCCTCTTGGGGTGGTCTCTCGAGGGGTCTCAGCTTTTCCTGACTGCCCCTCCTTAGTTTGCTGTCAATCCGGTCAGTTCTTGGACCCTCACCTTCAATTAAGCCTGTCAGCCCTTCTCTTTTTGGGCTTGTAGTCTCTTTCAGTCTCTTGGCAGTGTTCGCAAAGTCAGCCTGGTGCAGGGCTGTTGCCACCTTGCTATCCCAGGCCTTTCTGCCTCCATTTCCTTCTCTGCACTCTCCCTTTTATAGCAGGCCTTGTTTGAAGAACCTCAATCCCCTCAGGAACCTCTATGAGGAGGAAGAACAAATTGCCCAATCCACCAGTAGTTCTTCCCTCCTCATTCCCTGATGAGGCAGTGGAGCTTGCTTCACCATCACTGCCAGATGATTTTAAACAATTTCAGGAACTTCTCAGAAAGGCAGGGTCTTTACAGATTCCTCCAGAGGAAGTTCACAAACTTCTGAACATTCTCCAGACTACAGGCCCTATCAGAGTGGCACTTCCCATCAACAGTTCTGGAACTGGCAAAGACTGGCACATCCCAGCCACCTGCAACCCAGCTTCCAAAAGAGAAAGTTTACTTTATTCCATCTGAAGGGATGGAATATCTATTTTCCCACCCAATACCGAATGTGTTCATGGTGCAGGCCATTACTGAGTGCAGCAGGCTACTCTCTCTGCTAAGGACTCTAAAAAACTGGACCTTTAGTGGGGGGAAAGAGTTCCTCTTGTGTCAATCAACAATCCAAGATCGCAAATTACCAGGCTTGATTTCAAAATATGATTTTATTAATTTCTCCAAACTTTCTGAGTTAACTAACAAGCTT